GTAAATTTCTCTAGTGGACTCTCCAAGATGAAAACAAATTGTGCTCCTTTTGTAAGAAAATTCCATTATTCTGTACTACCAAAATATAATACACTTTGAAAGATATTTCCCACATTTCCTCATTGACCAGCAAATTCCTACCTATCCTTCAGATCTGGGTAGAAACTTTGGTTTCTCTTTGATCCTCTGATTAGGTTACTCCCCTCTGTCATATGCCCTCAGGACACTGTCCATTCCCTTTCTCATACTCAGGGCCCTTGTGATAGTGGTGCCGTCTCTCTCCTGCCAGCCTGTGAGCTGTGTGGGGTAAGGGACAAGATCTGCCTCATGTAACACTCCATCTTCAACAGCTAGCGTGATGCCTGGCACCTACTGGGCTCTCAGTACACACTTACAAAATACTGCTAAATGAACCATTTCACTTTCCCTTTAATTAATGATTATCTTTAGCATTTTTAAGTTATAATCAGCTTTATCAAAACTTGATATACGCACAAACTTCACAGGAACGTAGAACTGTACAGTGATAATAACACGTTATTTGCATAGCACTATGTAGTTTACAGAACCCTATTTTATCAATTATTTTATTTTAGCCTCGTAATCACATTGTGAGGTAAGCATTACTGGCCCTATTTAAGGCAGAAGAGACTGAAGCTCAGAGATCTATCCAACTTTCCACCATTGCAACTGATTGAGCAAGGACTCACTTCCAGTCCCTATCCTACTCCGTGTCACCACAATACCTATAAGTTCATCAACTACGGTTTTTCTCATTTACTCCGAGAAACCAGATTATGCCCTTTTAATCCAATTCACTTGCAATTGGGTTGATGTTCTCTCATTCCTCCCAATCAGTTTCATCAAACCATTGGCATAAAGAGCTCAAATCAGAGACCTAAAGACCGTCTAGCCTAGAATTCCAATCTGCTAAGTGTATATTACCCTCCTTCCTTATTCCCACCCCAAATACAATCTTACCGATGTCAGTGTCATTTTTCTGACCTTACACCAAGGCATGCACCATGCCAGCACATAACGGGCCCTCAACACACTCTGTTGTGAATGCCAGTTCTCCATCACAAAGTGAGCTGAGGACCGTTTACCACTGGAAGATTCTATACATGTGTCAGCAAAAAGGAACTTCTTTTTTAACTGCATGACCATCAGAAGGCCTTGGTGGCTGAATTTCCGTTGATTAGTGTTGGTGTTGCTTTTGCTAGTCCTGTCTCTTAGAATCCGTGTCGTGTTACTGTGTGCCGACATAAGTGTTACTGAAATACAAGGTCTTATTGTTCCATTTTGGTTCCATTTCAATGAACAAGCTGAAGAGGGCCTACAGGTGAGTGCCAGAGACTTTCCAGGCTCTTTCACTTGGCTAGGTTCCTGGCTTGAGGAGCTTCTGAGGACTGTCATGGTCTTTGGGTATTTGAGTGATTATCACACCCACCTTAAGACATTGCCTTGTTTGTCAATTACTGCTTTACATAAGATGGGCTTGGTTGGAATTGATTGACTCCAACCCCTTTCTGTCTCTACTGAAAATTCTCCAGATACACACCTCACTCTCCACTATAGTCTTTATATCCTGTAGCTTCTACGTCTTCTAAATATAGTAGAATCGAGTAGCAACCCAAGATTCATATATAGTCTGTCTCATTACTATTGCTCCATATCCATATTATGCAGCATTATCTGTAGTATGTTGTGTTTGCCAAGTAGCTTACATTGCCTTTTTTAATTAAAGAGACTTCGATTGGTCTATAATTTGCTAGCAATTTTAAGTACAGATTAAATTAGATAAGACAGTTTTTGNTGTAGTTTACAGAACCCTATTTTATCAATTATTTTATTTTAGCCTCGTAATCACATTGTGAGGTAAGCATTACTGGCCCTATTTAAGGCAGAAGAGACTGAAGCTCAGAGATCTATCCAACTTTCCACCATTGCAACTGATTGAGCAAGGACTCACTTCCAGTCCCTATCCTACTCCGTGTCACCACAATACCTATAAGTTCATCAACTACGGTTTTTCTCATTTACTCCGAGAAACCAGATTATGCCCTTTTAATCCAATTCACTTGCAATTGGGTTGATGTTCTCTCATTCCTCCCAATCAGTTTCATCAAACCATTGGCATAAAGAGCTCAAATCAGAGACCTAAAGACCGTCTAGCCTAGAATTCCAATCTGCTAAGTGTATATTACCCTCCTTCCTTATTCCCACCCCAAATACAATCTTACCGATGTCAGTGTCATTTTTCTGACCTTACACCAAGGCATGCACCATGCCAGCACATAACGGGCCCTCAACACACTCTGTTGTGAATGCCAGTTCTCCATCACAAAGTGAGCTGAGGACCGTTTACCACTGGAAGATTCTATACATGTGTCAGCAAAAAGGAACTTCTTTTTTAACTGCATGACCATCAGAAGGCCTTGGTGGCTGAATTTCCGTTGATTAGTGTTGGTGTTGCTTTTGCTAGTCCTGTCTCTTAGAATCCGTGTCGTGTTACTGTGTGCCGACATAAGTGTTACTGAAATACAAGGTCTTATTGTTCCATTTTGGTTCCATTTCAATGAACAAGCTGAAGAGGGCCTACAGGTGAGTGCCAGAGACTTTCCAGGCTCTTTCACTTGGCTAGGTTCCTGGCTTGAGGAGCTTCTGAGGACTGTCATGGTCTTTGGGTATTTGAGTGATTATCACACCCACCTTAAGACATTGCCTTGTTTGTCAATTACTGCTTTACATAAGATGGGCTTGGTTGGAATTGATTGACTCCAACCCCTTTCTGTCTCTACTGAAAATTCTCCAGATACACACCTCACTCTCCACTATAGTCTTTATATCCTGTAGCTTCTACGTCTTCTAAATATAGTAGAATCAAGTAGCAACCCAAGATTCATATATAGTCTGTCTCATACTATTGCTCCATATCCATATTATGCAGCATTATCTGTAGTATGTTTCTCACTCTCCACTATAGTCTTTATATCCTGTAGCTTCTACGTCTTCTAAATATAGTAGAATCGAGTAGCAACCCAAGATTCATATATAGTCTGTCTCATTACTATTGCTCCATATCCATATTATGCAGCATTATCTGTAGTATGTTGTGTTTGCCAAGTAGCTTACATTGCCTTTTTTAATTAAAGAGACTTCGATTGGTCTATAATTTGCTAGCAATTTTAAGTACAGATTAAATTAGATAAGACAGTTTTTGATAATCATTAACATATTGACTACATTTAATGTATTGAACATATTTTTAATCAGAACTCAGAGTTTAAATGAAAACTGCTCTCTCACAGGATTCTATTCTAGTATTCGTTAATGAAGAATAATCAAATAAAATTACTTGGCCCCTAGAATGATTGGATATGGAACGCCAAGTTTGAAGGGAACCAAATGTCTTAGTCTGTTTTGTGCTGCCATAACAGAATACCTGAGACTGAGTAATTTATAATGAACAGAAATTTATTCAGTCATAATTCTAGAGGCTGGGAAGTTCAAGATCAAGGGGCCTGCATCTTAAAAGGGCCTTCTTGCTGTGTCATCTCGTGGTGGAAGGTGGAAGGGCAAAGAAAGGGCAAGAGGGACAGAGACCAAGAGGGGATGAACCCGCTCCAGCTATAACAAGCCCACTCCTATGATAAGGGCATTAGTCCTTTCATGGGAGCAGATCCCTCATGGCCTAAACACCTCTTAAAGGTCCCACCTCCCCATACCGTCACGTCAATTAAATTTCAAGATGAGTTATGGAGGGGGAAAACATTCGAGTCTTTTAAAGACTGTTACTACTTTATAAACTGTTACTGGCTTTATAAACGTAATGTGGCTTTAAACTTTAGTTTTAAACATAAAACTTTAGTTTTAATCTTCCCTTTCTTATTCCGCATTCTGGCGAAATACAAATTAATGCTTGTAAACATATAGTGTGTATATTTTTAGTGGGAAAAAGGACATTTCTCTGGCAATGAACCTCACATTTCTCTTGCTTTCACAGTAATAAAAGACTAGTGGCCTTAGTGCCCATGCCCAGTGACCCTCCATTCAATACCCGAAGAGCCTACACCAGTGAGGATGAAGCCTGGAAGTCGTACTTGGAGAATCCCCTGACAGCGGCCACCAAGGCCATGATGAGCATCAATGGAGACGAGGACAGTGCTGCCGCCCTGGGCCTGCTCTATGACTACTACAAGGTAGGTCCCACGGCCCCGGCCCCTCCTCTTCCCAGGCCAGGGAGCTAACGGTTCTTCCACACTCAATGTGGAGTTCAGCCTCTTTCTGTTCTCATGGCCTTTCTGCTTCCCTGTTCTATGAAGCCTAACTTCACTACCACCCAGAGAAGTTTTCATTTTGGGATAATTATTTCTTGTGTCCTTTGTTCACATGCATAAATATTATTTTCATAGTTTTTATTTTTATTAAGAGATCTTTATTTTAAAAATTAAAAAAAAATTTTGGCACCCAGAGAAGTTTGCATTTTGGGAAAATTATTTGTGTCATTTGTTCAAATGCATAAATATTTGAACCAGCTGACCAGTACAGGGATCTGAACCCTTGACCTTGTTGTTATCAGCACCATGCTCTCCCAAGTGAACTAACTGGTCAGCCTATTTACATATTATTCTTAATATCATATGAGGGATTTTCAAAAAGTTTGTAGAAAGATTCGTATTATTTTAAAATTCTACTTTCCCATGAACTTTTTGACATACCTTCGTATTACAAATACTTTCTTGCCACCATTTTTACTTTATGAATATGATTTTTGGTGAATGAAGTGTATCACATTGTGTGGCTGTACCATAATTTAGTTATTGCACCATTGTTGAGCATTTAGGTTGCCTTTAGATTTTTCTGATTTCATAAGAAACATTCGGGGTTTCTAGGTTTTTCAGTTTTTCGGTTTTATAAGGAACATTCCAATGAACACTTCTGTGGAGCTTTTGCAGAAATTCTACAACCCAATTTTGTCACAACCCTAACTGTGTCTATTTGTTTCAATGGGTACTAAATTTTCATTTTGAAAAACCTTTGAAGCAAAATGGGTGTAATTCACTTACATTACAAAAAATACCTGTCATATAGTACTTACAAAATTGTAGTGTTTCAGGATATCAACAGGAAACAATGGTCTGTCTCAATTATCAAGGACTATTCCTGGTATGACCTGCTCCCTTAGAATCACTGAAGTGTAAAAAATCAACAAGTATTTACTCAATGAGGAGATTTATTGCCTGCTTTGATTGTAAACACCTTGGGCTTGTGCTGGGAATTGACACAAAGGTGAGAATGGCTGTGTTTGTTTTGCTGGTCAGGGCACAGTGAACTTTTATTTTAGAATAAGAACTGAATCCCACCTCCCCTTCTCCCTCTATCACAGGAAAATCAGAGCTCTGGGCAGAATCACCCAGGAGGAACAATTTCCCTTTCAGTGATCTTCAGTCTCCTCTTCCTGTTTTCTTTCTGCTTCCTGCCTCCTGTTTCCTTACAGCAGCCTCTCCTTTGCACATTTTGTGGTCCCCTGTCTCTCTCTTAAATCGGAGTTTTCTTTCAAAAGATCTCCTGCCACCGCCAACTTTGGCACTGCCCCCAGGTCTTCTGTCACAGTTTTCTAAAACCAAGTCTTTCGTTTTCCAACTTCCCATTTTTTCCCATTAAAACCCAGGAGGGCTCCCTCCTTGGGGACGGGAGGGCGGGATGGGTGGCTTATCTAAGAAAAGCAAGGTATGAATGACAGGTCGGCCCTTCTAGGGTATTTTAAATGAGGATATTATATCAAATAAACACATCTTTAATTATTAGAAAATGTTGGAAAAAATATATGAAGGGCATGCCATTGGTACCCTTGCCAGTCTAGGCTGATTTTCCCCCCTTATAAAGAAAGCCCAAGTCGGAAGATTTTGACAGCACTCTTATGAGGGTATAAAACTCCCAGCTAGACTCCTGACAAAGCAAGAAGGCCTTTAACTTGGAGGGACTTGAGCTCCAGGTGAAAGAGTGTTTTAGGGCCTAAACTACATTTCATGTAAGTAGGGCTGTTTCCTCTAACAGTGGAGGGTGTGTGTGGAGCGGAGAGGGTGGGTAATGCCTGAAAAAAATAAGCTTGAAAACCAAAATACTTTCATGGTAGGCTTTTCTTTCTTCTTTTCTGTTTGTGGTTGTTTTATATTTTTCAACCTTTCTGACTGAGGATCTCATTTGGAAAAACACAGAAATAAATGTTTTGGGGTGAAAAATTCCAAAATTCATTGAGGATAGTGCAGTAGCACAGAACTCATCAAATTAGGCTGCTTTGAGTTCTAAGCCATTTATCGAGGGTTCAGCTTTTTTTTGCTCTCATCCTTAGAAAGGAATTGAAAAATGATTTTTCTTGACGATAAAAAAGAATAGTCAAAACTTGACAGTTTTATTGATCTTTAAAATCTATTAACACATCATTAAAGGAATCCTGATTTAATCACTTGGGTCATGACAAGTTCTTTTTGTAACTTTTATAATGTTAAATTATGATGTCAGTTAATTGTTTTAATTAGGCTTTGATAATTCTTTTTTTGTATTAATGAAAAAGAGAAGCATACCCCGAAACAAAAATAATTAGTAATTTATGAAAGCAATGTATTTTATCACCCATAGGTTCAGAGGATAATTAAATATTAGTAAATATGAGTAATTTAGTATTAATAAATGTGGTACCTACATTCTTTCTCCTCTTGCACATTTGCTAACATTTAAAGGAAAGTTAAAATATTGCTTTCTGTAAATATTTTGAGATGTATGGTAGGAAGTTTACATAAAAGTCAAGTTATAGCCAAGTCTATAACTCTTTCTGTTGAATTAATATTTTCCAAGATGGTGTGGACTAATAGACTTACATGGCTGCTTTTATTTTACAACCTTTACTGTATATTTGCTAGAAACATTTTACTGTCTGTGGAAAGAATTAGTCTTGTTTGCAAAAATTCTATGTCCAAATGACCATTTTGAGGCCTTTGTCAGTTCTCTGGATGTTCACAGTTTATATATGCTGGTGTTAATGTTATAACAAAGTGTAATGTCCTCTGAGAATAGACCTTTTTTATGTAGTTAAAGTGAAATGTTAATAAAAAGAAGCAATTCTTTTATTTTGAGTATAAACTTTGGGAAGTTAAATTATTGTAACGATTGCAGTCACATTGTCATTTAAATTTTATAGACATTTTATACTTCTTAGGAAGTGAGAATTGATTCTTTTTTGAAAGACACCATTTTCCCTCACTCCTGAGGTTGGTGTACATCACCGCTGAGGGGATAATAGGGGTCTGTACAGAGAGAGGAGTTTGTGGGATACAAGCAGCCACCCAAGAAATGGTGGTTTCTGTCCTGGGAAACTGGCAAAGGCTTGTCTCTCTATAACCCTTTATACATCTCAAAGTCAACTGCCACCATGGGAGCATCACAGCGAAGCCTGTCAGGTTGTAACTTTCACAGTTCAGGACACAAAGTGAGATTTACCCAAAGTCACAGGACAATCCTGTATTCCAATCATCCATTTAATTACAATGCCCATCATTTGAAAATGGCTCAAATTCGTAAAATATACACTTGAAGCTTAATATATTGTTCACTAAGTGGTGTTTTTTTTTTTTTTTTTTTTTTGTCTTTTGTCTTTTTCCGTGTCCGGCAACGGATTGCAACCCTCAGTGTTGCCCCCGTACCGGACCGGGGACCGGCAACGGGATTGCAACCCTCGGTGTTGCTCCCACGCCTCGCTCAGCCAGTGAGCGGGAACCGGTCTGTATGTGGGATCCGAACCCTCGGGCGGGAGCGCCGCCGCGCTTCCCAAGCGGCACACTATCCAGTGCACCACCGGGCCGGCCCCACTAAGTGGTGTTTATTAAAAAACCCAAATTTATAGAATTTCTCATTATTTAGAGGCTCAAACTCTAGCCCAGTTCTCTATCCAGCTTAAGCTACTTACCAATAGGAGTTCCAGAGTCAAGTGTGATCTTTCCATGAATTTCAGGCATGGCAGAAAAACATGACAGATTAAATTAGATACTTAAAAGAGTGGTTTGACTTAATTTATATTACTTTTATTTTTCCCTCGAGGAAGCTAGTGGTCTGTAATCATCTGATTCCATCTCTTGTGAAAATAGGCTTCCTTGGTCAGTTGGTTTCTATCTGTTCTGCTGATCTGGAACTGCTGGAAACCAGTTTGCTGGTTTGTTTGTTTGTCCATCCATATATCCATCCATTCTTCCATTCATCGATCCAGCAAATATTCCCTAATTATGGGCCGGCCCGGTGGCGCACTGCTACAGTGCGCCGCTTGGGATTGCAGCAGCGCTCCCGCCGAGGGTTCGGATCCCACATACAGACCGGTTCCCGCTCACTGGCTGAGCGAGGTGCGGGCGCAACACCGAGGGTTGCGATCCCGTTTGCTGGTCACGAAAAAGACAAAAAAAAGGAAAAAAAAAAATAGGCTTTTTACCATTTCCTAATCTTAGTCACTTTCTAGTTTGCTATGAGATTTTTAAACCGGCACATAGTATCCCTTTGGCCAGTTTTCTAGTACCTGGAGATTAAAATTATTGAGATGTCCATAACTATTACATTTAAACCATTTTCACTATCCACTTCGTCCTTCCTACATTCAACAAATATTAAGCGCCTATATTATGTCAGACAGTATTCTAAGCCCTGGGGACACAATGTAAATAAGACAATCCCCCAAGAATCTGTGTTCTTCAGATTGACTTTCCTTGATACTGTTTCATTTATCCCCAAGCATCCTTGATGTTCTGCATCCCAGTTCCTTATCACTCTTTTACGGACACTAGTAGGTTAATATTACCCCATATAGGTGATTTTCAAAGACTGGGGCTCTAATGGAGGAATTTCAGATGTTAGAGGAGGTAGTGAATGGGGAAGTTTTTTCACGGAAGATGAGCTTCTGGAAACCTGTGGCTTAAATCACTTCAAATAGTGAAACCTGACATATGTAAAGCACGGTTCAGTGTTTTTATATGTGTATATGTCATTTCATGCTTATGCAAGAAATAGGATATATCCCATGAGCTAGTTATTATGAGATAGTTACGAGATAGTTAGCATTCCCATTAAATAGATGAGGAAACTGAGGTTTGAAGACGTCATGTGCCTTGCTCAAGGTCATCTAAACATAAAATGGTGGAGCCAGAACTGGAACCCAGACCTCCCTCCCAGATTCTGTGCCTGGTCCAGCATACCCCACTCTCTTTCCAGGAGTCTGCTCCACCTTTGATAGCTCCACACAACTCTTTACACAGACAACACTCCAGGCCTCATGAACTCTGACTACTCTGATGTCTGGCTCATTCTAATAGATCCAAGAAAGCCTCCAAGCTGCTCTGACCCCAGTACCAAGGAATGGACCAACAAGTGCTAGTCAGTGAATATGATGAAGTTTCAAGATAATTATTCTTTTGCTTTTTTTTTTTTAGGTACCAAGTCCTCTGGTTTAGGGGTCTGTGAATGGCTTCTTGTCCTCACTTCCCTGCTCTTTATCATCGTGACCTTTCCTTTTTCCATCTGGTTCTGCATAAAGGTGAGATTCCATGATCTAACAGGTAATTTCCTGGTGCTTCTCACTGACCATACCATGCCCACTCTCACCTCTGTATTTTGGTATATGCTGTTGCTCTATGTGGAATGCTCTCACCCCCAACTCACCTTCCAGGAGAGCTTTTACTCCTTCAAGATCTTGCTCAGAGGTAAATGTGAAGCCTACCTTGACTTCCCCAGACTGTCATTCCTTTCCCTGTGCTCCTGTGTCACTCCACTTTCATTTTGTTCTAGCACTTACCACACATATAATATTTGTTGACACCCTATCTCATTAAACTGAGACCCTTCAGGGCAAGAGCTAATTCCTCACACTGGCCTTTTCCTGCCATACTCTCAAGACTTTTATAAGGAGACCCCTTCTCCACCCACCTGACAAACTTTTGCCTACAGCTCAGCTCCTCTAGGGAGCTCTGTCCTCTGGGCTTCCAGAGTGCCCTGTATGTAGCTTAGTTCTACCTCATCTCACTGGGTATTAATTTTTTTAAAAACACTGTTAGGAATAACTATGTTTTTGGAGAAAAGCCAAGTACTCTCTGGTGGGGAGGGCAGGGGGATAAAGCACCGGGTGCAGCGGCAGGCAGAGCTGGCTCTCCTTAAATACCTTCCTCCTCCTTACAGCCTTTCAAAAAAATTGTGGTAAAATATACACAACATAAAATTTACCATCTTTAAGTGTACAGATCAGTGGCATTAAGTACATTCACACTGTTGTGCAACCATCACCACCATCCATCTCCAGAACTTTTTCATAATTCCAAACAGAAACTCTGTGCCCATCAACCAATAACCCTCCAGCTGCTGCTAATCTCTATTCTTCCTTCTGTCTCTATGAATTTGACTCCTCTAGATACCTCATATAAGTGGGATAATACAGTATTTGTCCGTTTGTGTCTGGCTTGTTTTATTTAGCATCATGTCTTCGGCTTCATCCAATTTATAGTATGCATCAGAATTTCATTCCTTTTTAAGGCCGAGTAATATTCCATTGTATGGATATACCACATTTTTTTTATCCATTCATTTGTTGATGGACACTTGGATTGTTTCCTCCTTTGGGCTATTATGAATAATGCTGAAATGAACACTGTTGTACTGGATATTAAAATTTTATGTTTATCTGTCATCTTCAATAGATAACAGAAACTATGTTTTTTCATCATTTCTATCTAGTACTTAGCAATGCTTGGTTCATTGTAGATTCTCAAAATTGACATGAATGAAGGACTTACAATTGATTTACTTTATTTCTGTTTCACAACAGAAATAAAGTGCTTTAAAAAAATTAATTCATTTAATTTTACTAAAAACCTGTGAGGTATAGGACTATCATTATGCCCAGTTCACAGGTGAGACAGAGTTATTTTAGTGGTAGAGCTGAGATTCAAACACAGGCAATCAGGCTCTAGGTCTTAACACTTTACCACCCTGCTCTGTCCTCACTAGTCCAGCTGTCTAGGTTTGCATATGTATTCAGGTGAGTGGAAACCATAGGAATGGTTGCTGGAGGAGTCCAGGGGAGGGATGCTTCTCATAAATTTGCTTTCATCTCAAAATAGTGAGGCTGCATTTTGGGTGCAAAAGTGTTTGGCTAGAAAAAAGATCTGGAAATTTAACAAAAAACCAAAACAAACAAAACATCCAACCAACCAAACAAATCTTGCTCATGTGTTTGAAAACTATGGCAGAGTAAAGGATCCACGATGCAGTAGGGAGATTAGGTGATGTTCAAAAACACAGCTGGTGGAGGTGTCCCTTCTCTCAAGTAGCACTTTTCCAATAATCTCTCAGGTAATATGTTGGCATTATGGTTGTTAAGACAATAAATAAAGTGCATTAGAAAAAAAAATTGTGGAAGCAAGTCTATGAGCCATGTAGGGTGGCCCAGGTATATCAGGTGCTTGTTCCCACACTGGCCAACAGTGCAGCCCCATGCCCAATTCCCCACCCCCAGCCTCTTCAACACCTGAAGTCCCTCATCAGAGAGGAGGGTCTGTCCCTGTTCCTTAGCATGCTGCTTGCTGTAACTCCATGGCATCTTCTGTCCTCACAGCGGCACCACATCCAGATTCACCCTCCACTCACATTGCTCCTCTCCCCCATCTTCTTCCAAGGTGGGTAGTGGGGGAGTCGTGGCAGGTGCTCAGTCCTAGGGTGAGTCCCCTAGGTCAGCAGTAAGCAACTGAATTTGTTTGTGGTGGCCCTACATTCATCACTACCCTTTGTCTCTGGCTCCACTGTCATTGTCACTGAGGCTACTCACCTTTTACCATGTCTTGGAGATAGCAAATTTTCTACCTTTTCCTGGAAAACATTCTATTTTTGCTTCTTTGCAAAGATGGTGTCTAGCTCTGCACATGGTCATGGTTGCATATGTGTAAGTCTGACTGATGGTTGGTGATGTTTCCAGGTTCCTCGAGACAAGAGGCTGCTGTCTGTAAGCAAAGCAAGTGACAGCCAAGAAGACCAGGATAAAAGGTATGGTGTACATAAAGGAATAGACCTGCTTCCAGAATAACTTTTTAAAATGTTTTTGAAAACAAGAGTGTTAAACTAAGTTTTGTTCTTGAGGAGATGGGGTCAAGAAGCTTAGCCTTCTCTATCTGTCTTTTGGAGCCTGGGCCAAAACTAGCTCTCTCAATGGGCAGAGCAAATTGCATTTCCTGGTTGTGCATTTAAAGGGTCATCAGTGAGCTCTTCAGGTACCCCTTCCAAGGAGGCTTTAAATCCCAAGAATTAGAGGTGATGTGTTGGCAAGAGACCCCGCTGCTGGTATGAGCTTTTCTGATCCATCCCATGGCTCTACCACTGCAGTCAGGCCCTTGAGGGAGTGAGAAACTTGCAGGGTCTCTGAGGTAGGAGAGGAAGGAGGGTGGGCTGGTCTCTGCCCAGGGAGGTGACTGGTGGAGACCATGCACAACAGCGAGCACCATCCAGGTGCAGGGCAGGAGAGAGGTCAGGCGGTCATTATGTCACACCCCCTTTCTGTCCTCCTGAGTAAAGAACCAGGTGAAAAGCAGACACAGTCAGATAAATTGAGATTAAAAAGAAAAACAAACAAACAAAAAAACCCCTCAAACTAGCTTTATTTCTAATGAAGCCAACTGGAGAATGTGACTTGGAATCTGCAGCTTATCACATTTTGGTCCTGACTCAGGTAAGTCTACCTATCCAGTCCCAGGCAGGGCTTCATGCCACTTGTGGACAGCAGAGCTGACTGTAGGGTCCCCCCTGCTTGGCCAGGGTAATCCAGACAAAAAAGAGAGGACCAGAAGAGGCTGAGAGCTGCTCTGCTTAGCTACTTCTCCCAAATTCACCCATCAAATAAATCTCTTCCCCTGTCGTGGGATGGAGAGAAGCAACAGTGATTTTCTATTGGAGGTTCTTTCACATGGAAATACAAGAGGTCTTCAAAAAATTTATGGAAAGATTCGTATTATCTTTTACTTCTGTTTTTCCATGAACTTTTTGAAATACCCTATTATGAAGCCAGATAAATCAAATCCTCTGTGAGCACATATGTCAGATTCTTACCTGTCCATGATAGGAACTGCTTATGACATTCTACTCTCTGCGACTAGCAGCGGGGACCACTTCACCAGCAGCAGCCCTGGGCTGCAGCACCTCCATGGCTGTCTGCATCTGATCATGGTTCCACTAGGGATCTTCTGAAACACCACGCTGCCCTGGAATCCTGGGACCTCACTGGTAGGAGTGATGACAGGGAAGAAGAGGCTGACTGTCCCTGTAACTTTCCCTAGATCCAGCAAGTTTTACTGAGCCACGCTTGTGCTGTCTGTTACAACCTGTACCAGTGATCAAAAGCAGGGTTGGGGCAAAACAAGCCTGAGCTGTGTGTCTATCTACATGGTACATGATAGACAAGAGAGGCCATTTTTTGTTAAAGCATCTTTTAGAACATTACAAAGTGACAGCCGCTCATTGCATATTAATGGTTATTTTTGTGATTTCCATAGAGTAGCTTTAAAAAAACTGACAGTGAGGTATAGACTAAACCACCTTGTACAGACTAATTATGACTTAGTAGACTTCTCATTGAATGTAATTTGGAAGGATATTATTTTGATCTGCAACGTATGCATGAATTAAGATGCCATGTGCTAACATGATATCATTATAATTGTTTATATATAGAGATTGCTACTTGGAAAAATAACAGAATTTCAATGACATGATCCAAAATTTTGAAAAAGGATATTTAAGCACCACTCTTAGCATTGCATTTTTTCTTATAATATTTAATTCAATTTTAAATTCCATTGCAGGTAAGTCAGTATCTCTCAGTAGTTCTTACTTTGTCCTAATTATCCATTTTTTGGATGTCTTTCTGAAATTCTCTGGCATTTGCTTCTAAAGCTAATACTATTTTACATAGTTACACATTTTAGGGTGGTGCTGAATCTGTCATTAACTGGTGATATGGTAATAATGATTTGATTAGATTTACATAACTCTATAGCATCCTTATTTATTTGTTTGTTTAAAAGGACACCCCCCAAAAAATACTTTGACTTGTGTTCTTTGTTTAAAACTGAGATGTTTTGCATGAATTAAAGAACGATTAGATTTACATAACTCTATAGCATCCTTATTTATTTGTTTGTTTAAAAGGACACCCCCCCAAAAATACTTTGACTTGTGTTCTTTGTTTAAAACTGAGATGTTTTGCATGAATTAAAGAATTGAGAAATTTGGCCTGAAATGAACTCTAACTATAGAAGTTGGTTAACTTTAAATATTTTGGCAAAGCCAGTAACACTGTACCTGTGCAAAGTCCAGAGTGGAAACTGGGTAATTGACTTGGTAGCAAATCAGTGTAGATGAACTTGTTTACACCCAACCTAAAACACATTTTCCACAAGTATTAATGGTCTGGTGTGGAATGAGTTTGGGAAATTCTACGTTACAATTAAACAGGTGAAGGAATGCTGGAGGTTCTTTACTGTATTCATGATAATTGTGACCTATCAGGGTGGTCTTGTTATGGCAATATTTGTGTTTGCTGTTTTGTTTTTTAATACTGATTTTATCATGAACTCCTTTCTTGGAGGAACATTTAACATTCCATGCAGTGTTCTAAACAATGGGGTTTATTTAGGAAATGCTGATGTAAATGGGTGTTCTGGGTTTTGGCCTCCTCCCGCTAACTGGATTAGACATAATTTCTAAATTTTTACTCTCTCTTATATACAGATTCATTCCATTAATTTGAGCATAAAAACAGGTTATTACTTAAAGCCTGGCTGTTTGTAGGCTTGTGCTTTTACTTCTTAGAGGATTATTTTCTAGAATTAATTCTACACATATGTGTCAGACTCAGAGAAGTTTAGGTATTTTTCTGTTGGCTTTTTTATGTGGAACCATTCTTTCCTCAAGCTTCACTTTGAGGATTCATCTGAAAAATCAAAGCTCAAAATACCAAGTCCTGCTTGATAGTTAGACAAGCTCAGAGGCTAAAGGACTTCTTTCTTTACAGAGAGGAGCCAGGAGGACCCAACTCTTGGAAGGACCAATTTTATTTGAATATTTCTCTCAATCAGAGATGCCAAAGTCTCAGAAAGCACTTGCTAGATTAAAAAAAACCAAAACCCCAAAAACCCAGACATCTGAGATGGGGATGCATGCAAAGCATGAATTTTCTCTCCATATTATTCAGAATAATCCATAAATAAGTGAGAGGTGGCCCCAGAATTCTACTGACCAGAGTGACTTTGCCAGTAAAATCACTGCTGTCAACAATCATCTTCCATTAGCGAGTTCCTCTTTGCTTTTTTTTTCTCTCCCAGAACTCTTTAGTATAAATGAAAGTATTTCATCCTAGCCTGGCAAGAATTAACTTTCTCAACCCTGTCCTTTCTCTCTGTACCAGCCAGGAGGTCTGAGATCTGGAAGATCTTTTTTGTTTTACATAAACCCAGTTACACCACTTCCTTAAGCCCCAAAGTAATTCAATGCTAAGGATATCAATGAGCTCATGTTATTTCTATTTGGTGAAAGTATTTTAACGATAAACTCTCATTATCTTATTTTTCCTTTAGGGGTTTAGCCCACAGAATAGCGAAAAATATCCTTCCTACTCCCCCCACCCCTTCCAATTACTTCCCTTTGGTCTTTTTTTTTTTTTTTCTTTTGTATTTTAAATCTTTTTCTTTTGAAAGTTTTCAAACATATACAGAAGTACAGAGGATAGTACAACGAAACCCCAGATACTCATCCCATCTTCCAGGTCAGCAATCATAAATTTTTGTCATGACTACTTGATATCTACCTTTTCTTTCTTTCTTTCTTTCTTTTTTAATGGTAGTAGTATTTAAAATAAATCCCCAAGTTCATGTCATTTCACCTCTAACTACTTCTGATTTGTATCTCTAAAAAAATGGACGTTTTATTACATAAGCTCAAACTCATTATCACATCTAAGTAAATTAACAGTACTTTTTTATTATCACCTGATTCCCTGTCCGTATTCGATTGCCTCGAAAATCCCATGACCTCACAAATGCCTCCTTGGTTTGTTCAAGTCAGGATCCAAACAAAATTTACTCATTATATTTGATCGTTAGGACTTTTAAATCGTTTTAAACCTGAAACAATCCTCCCACCCTTCCTTTTCCCCCAGGCCTTTGACCTGTTGGTGAATTTAGGTCAGTGAGGTGTGCTACATTCGGTTTGAGTGATTGCTTCTTTTTGGGGTTGTGGAAGTCATTCTTCCAGCTCCTGTGTTTCCTGAGAGCTGAAAGCTGCATCTAAAGGCTTGGTTAGATTTCGGGCCAACACTTCTCACTGGCAATCCTACTTTACGGTGGGGCCAACTCCTTCCCACTGCATGACACCGGGAGGCACTCTGGACTAGTTGTCCCCTTCCAGTGATGCACAGGCCCACTGCATCCCGTTGCGAAGCTGGCCATCGCCCTTCTCCGCTGGCGTACCCATCCACCGTGACGGCCTGCACTGGTTATTTTATTAGGAATTGAACAACGGCGACTTATCTAATCTATCATGTTTGAACACACAGGAACTGTCTTGGCAGCAGTGAAGCCCAGAGTAATCTGAGTGGAGGAGAAAACCGGGTCCAGGTCCTGAAGACGGTTCCCGTGAACCTTTCCCTAAGTCAGGACCACCTGGAGAACTCCAAGCGCGAGCAGTACAGTGCCAGCGTCCCCGAGAGCCCCGCTGTCATCCCAGTGTCCGGAATCACCGTGGTGAAAGCCGAGGACTTCACACCGGTCTTCATGGCCCCACCCGTGCACTACGCCCGGGGGGATGGGGAGGAGCCGCGCGTGGTCATCTTCGAACAGACTCAGTACGACGTGCCCGCCATGGCCACCCACAGCACCTATCTCAAGGACGACCAGCGCAGCACCCCCGACAGCACCTACAGCGAGAGCTTCAAAGACGGGGCCGCAGAGGTGAGCCTCCGCCCGCCCTCCGCAGCCAGGACCCGGGACCCGAGCCCCCAGCTGAGGCTTTTTCTTCCCTATTTGCTTTTCGTTTTTATTTTTGTTTGTTGTGGGGGCTGGCAGGTAGGGGGATCCAGACCCTGGCCTTTGGTGTTACCAACACTGTGTTCTAACCTATGGGCAGCTAACTGGCCAGCCCTCGATTTGCTTTGCTTTTTAAGTCGGATAAATGAATTAAACCGAGTTTAGTGTTTTTTGGTTTTTTTTTTTTTTAAATGTTTTTGTTGCTATTGGAGTATTCTTTTTAAATAGGTATTAATAAACCTGTGTGTCTGTGTATATGGAGGAATATATTTCTATTTTTCTGGACTCTTAAATGACAGATTGCTTTGTGTTAGTTTTAGTCTTAAATATTTACCAAGAATTTAGAAGTGTTTGTGTGGAAACTTCCTGCTTTGCAAAGTTTTCACCTTGACCTCACCGAGTTTGTAACCTTTTAAATGGTGGGTAGCTAGAGATGTTGCCTGTTCATTCTTTTTAAAAGCAATCTAACTCCCTAAAATCTTATCTGATTGAATACTTAAGAGGAGAATTTGTGTTATCAGTCATCAAGTGTGTGTATGTGTACGTGCTTTGAACCTTAGAGAGAGGACACATTTGTCTCAGGTGCCAGTAGAACTTACAGAGACAATTATCTTTGCTTGCTTGTTTGTTTTAAATTCACAAGTTCCAAGTGCACGATTTGAGAATTTTGGCCATTGTATATACTTGTGTAACCAACGCCAGAATCAAGACATACAAAGTTCCCTCACTCTAAAAGTTCCCTTTGCCCTTCTTGCACTGAGGCCCTCCCCTCTGCCCTTGCTCTTGGCAAGCACTAGTCTGCCTTCTGTCATTATAGTTTGGCCTTTTCCAAAATTTCACATAAAACAAAATGATAGGGTATATAGTCTTCTATGTTATCTTCTTTCATTTAGTATATTTTTGAGATTCATTTATGTTGTTGCTTATGTTATTTTTTTTTTTTTAGATTGCTGAATAGTGTTCTACGGTGGGTGTGTATGACAATTTGTTTATATAATCACCATTTGATGGACATTGGGTTGCTTCCTGTTTTTGGCTGTTGTAAATAACACTGCTATGGACATTCATGTATATGGTTAACATGGACATAAGCTTTCGTTTCTCTCAACTAAATACCTAGGGCTAGGCTTGCCGGGCTGCATGGCAAATGTGTGTTTGACTTCATAATGTACTACCATACAGCGTTTCTAAGTGGCTGTATCATTTTCATTCCCACCAGCAATATAGAGGATTTCTGTTTTCCACATCCGTGCCAAAACTTGGTATTGTCAGTCTTTTTAACTTTCTTTATATTAGTGGATATGTGGCAGTGACTCGTTGTGGTTTGAATTTGCATTTTTTTGATGGTTAGTGAGGTTGACCACTGTTTCCTGTGCTTATTTGGCCCTTCCTATAACTTTTTTTGTGAAGATTCTTTTCAGATCTAAGCCCAGTTTTTAAATTGGGTTGCCTTCCTTTTAGTAAGTTGCAAGAGTTCTTAATGTGAATATAAGCCCTTTATCAGTTACATATTTTTCAGTCTGTTCTGGTAGCCTTTTTGTTTTCTTAATATGTCTTTCAAAGAGCAACAGTATTTAATTTGATGAAGTACTTCACCAATTTTATCTTTTATAGTTTATGCTTTTGATGTACTATCTAAGAAGTCTTTCTCTAACCCAATGTCACAATGATTTTCTCTCTTTTTTTTCTAGTCATTTAATAATTTTACCCCTTTTACGTAGGTTTCTGATCTACTTCGAGATCATTTTTATATATGGTATGAAGTAAGGGTGAGGTCCTTTTTTCCCTGTACTATTATCCGGTTGTTCTGGCACCATTTGTTGAAAAGATGATCGTGTGTTCATTTAATTGCTTTGGGATCTTTGCAGAATTGATGACATGTTTTCTCCAATTTCTGACCCAGAATATGTAATGCATATTTTTATTAGTGCGGGTCAGTTTCTTCATCATTTAGGATCAGTGCCTCTGCACTGGAGCTGTTGGTCACTGGCTCCCCATTGTGCAGCCCACCTGAGCCAATAAAAGACAATGGCAGAGGGAAAACTTGTGGTTTCTAATTTCCTAAAGAGGAGCGAGTGATGGCGGCGTGCCGAATACCTTCAGCCTGCTGCCTATTTAGTTGCCACTGGGACAAAATGCAGCTGTCTGGGGTTGAGATTTTGTCCCTAAATAGTAACATTTAAAAATAATAAACATTTGATGAGTACTTACTATGTGCTCGTCATCATTCTAAGTGATATATATTCATTTAATCTTTATTAAAAGCCCTGTGAGGTAGGTATTGTCATCTCTGTTTTTTAAGTGAGGAAACTAAGGCACAGAGAGCATAGGCATGCTCATGGTCATTTAGTAGTAAGTGGAAGGCATAGGACCCAACCCAAGCTGTCTGGCTCCAGACCCTCTGTGCTTAACTGTTGCCACCACACTCTCAGAGAAGACTGTGTGGGGCCTTCTAGTTGTCAGGAGTTCCATTGCTTAAGGCAGTGAGTCACCCCAATTTTTTTTTTTAAATCTCAGTGTTCTTTGTCTATCATATTAGACATGTTTTATCTTTCAGGTCAGGAGAAGAGGCATAAAAGGTCGGCAAGCAGCGACTCACTGTCTGCAGTGTTGGTAGGGAGCTAGGCTATACACTGCACTAGCGGCCCTGCCACCAGTCATTTATGAGCACCTGCTGTATTCTATGAAATCAGGGAGTAACCAGAGTGAGAGATGATAAATTCCTAGCCCTTAAGAGGCTGTCGTATTTCTTGGGTTCTGGTAGCTTTACAATCAAACTTTCAATGTGCTTATACTAAAAAACAAAAAAGGGCCTTAAAATTATCTTCCTTAGCTTCCTGTGTCGTATTGTTTAAAACAGTAACTTATTTATTTATTTATTTATTTATGTATTTATTTATTTATTTATTTATTTTAGACCAAGGGATCTTGCAGAGTCTTCGGTATTGTTGTATATTTGGTTTGCCCTCAAGTAGTCAGGGCTGCTTTTGTAGGAAAAGCAAATAACTGAAATTATCACTTCACAATCTCGTGTGGGATACATGCTTTTTAATCAAAAGATTGCCACTGATGTATTTTCTCACAGTGTAGAAATGTTACATTAGTCACAGAAGAGTGCATGAACATGGTCCAATGTCAGTGGAACCATCATGCTGTTTGGGGGATGTGTTTGTGTTGTAGAGATAAAGAGGATTGTGAAAGAAAACTTTGTAATTTTTGGCTTTATTTTGAAGAAACTGACAAAGTAAAGAAACTTACCAGAAACTAAATGTGAAGTGTATTCCCACTGATTTTGGTTGAGCTGCTCTCCTAGTTGGAAATCAGTGATTCTGTTGCATTCTGTAAGTTAAATCAAATGATCTGCTATGATCTTTAGCCATTTCATTGCCAACTGGTGATAGGATTAAGTGGTTTTAGAGTAATTTTACCAAGAAAATTTCATTAAGGAAAATTTGTCTAAACTCCAGTACTTCTTTTGGGCAAACTATTAAAATGTCTAGGACTCTTGTTGAATAAGCAAATCTTATTTGCCATTTGAGACCTATGCTTCTGTGCATGTGTGTGTGCTGGTAGCAGGGAAGGGAGTAGTTTGTTTCAACTCAGGCTGGGATTCTTTTAAAAGACAGTGATAGCATTACAAAGTGCTTTAATGGATTAATTTTAGCTAATTTGATTTATATTTTATTCTACACTTACAATAACATTTGGCAAATAGTTGTTGATTTATACAGGGTATGAGCTGCTGTGCTTGTCATAGGAGTAGAGGGCTTCTAGAAGCTTGCTATCTAGCTATATCTGTAAAGAAAAATAGTGATAGCTGCCACTTACTGAGTTCTTTTGTGTGTGAGGCACTGTGGCTTACACATTATATTTCTAATCCTTACTACAATTCTGCAGGGAAGGTGCTATTTTTCTTATTTTGCAGATGAAGAGACAGAGATTCAGAGGGAAAATTGCCAAAGGTCACACAACTAACAAGCAGAGTATAGTCAATAAATACAAATCAGAGTGGTTAATTAGGATCGGGAATGTTTTTAGGAAACACTTAGAACTTAATGGAAGAGGTTTTATAGAAAAATTTTTATTTATAGATGTATAACTATATAGGTATAAATATATAGTCATAAAAGGAAATCAGAGTGGAAGGAAAAATTTGCTTATTGTGCATTACAATTTTGTGTATTTTAGCAGTAGTCTGTGGTATAGAAATAAAGGAATACCAAGATCTCAGTGATTTAATGCAGCGAAAATTTATCTGTTGCTAATAAAAGTCCTGTTGTGTGTGTGCAGAGCTTTCTTCCAATCAGCGATTTAGGAATCCAGGGTCCCTCCTTTTTGTGACGTTACCATCTCTATATGTGGCTTCCAGTGTCACCCCAGCAGAGGAAGAGAGCATGGAGATGGCACACTGACTTATAAATGCTTCGACCTGGAAGTGACACACATCACCTCTGTTCACATTTCATTGGCTAAAGCTAGTCACATGATTGGCCTGACTGCAAGAGGGCCGAGAAGTTTCGTTCTCCCGTTAGTCCTTCTACATGCTCAGGAATTGAGAAGAACTATTTGTGAGTGAGCACCAGATATCTCCACCATGTATTTCATAATTCAACGCCAGGCATGTCATTTGTAGAATTATTAAAGTTTGCAGAGAATCTTGAAATGAAAGCAAAGAATGATTATTTGCCATTATTTGATAGACTTATGATCATTAGTCCATTGATTTTTATATTCATCGGTAGTCTGAAAGTGGTAGTGATCCTGGATTTAAATAAACCCTGTTCATCATAATTGATTGATAACTGGAAGTCCATTTCCTCCCACAAATTTAAAGAATAAAAGTCTTAAAAATATTGATTCATATACTAAATTGGAATATAGCCTCACCTATGATTGATGAACCCAATTTCATTATGTTTGTTTTA